GGTTGTCGCCAGTAATCACCAAATGAAAAAGTTTTATACTATGTATATTGTATATTATTTTAGAGTTTTATACTAAGTAAAATTATTTTGTACCGTTGATGGCTGTGTCAATCGTAATATTATGACATATGCCATATCTTAATGTTGCGATAACAAGTTCTATTGAATCACGCAGTATATGGATTATTTTTAAATTGAATTTAATCAGTAATTTTATTTAATCTTACGGTTATTATGAAATAGTCCGATAAGCATGTACGAGCCGTTTAGTTGATCGTATTAATGCTTAAAATTTTGTATAGCTTGTAATAATTATTTGTGTTTTGTATTATTTTAAACTAACATTTTTAATATTTTTATATTTTATAATATATAAACTAAAACGATATGGATACATTTTTAATTAAACGACCGATGAATAGTGATGATGAAAGTGTTATAGAAACTAAAGTTCGTAAGGTATTGGGAATGTCGTCAGATGTAAAAATCAGTCGAAAAGTTAATAAAAAGGACCGTAAATACCAAGACAGTTACATCAAGTTTGGATTCACTTTCGATGRTGAAAAAAGGTGAGCCAAAATGTGTTATTTGTTTAGAAAGATTAKCTTCAGAAAGTATGAAGCCATCAAAGCTAAAATGACATTTAGTTACTAAACATCCTCAATTTCAACATAAAGAGGAATACTTTTTTAAAAGGTATGAAAATTCGATAGAAGTTCAAAAAATACTACCTATGCGTAATTTTTCTTCAGTTCCTATAAAAGCTCTAGCTACATCATTAGAGGCTTCATATTTAATTGCTAAAACCAAAAAACCACACTCTTTTGGTGAATCTCTCGTATTGCCAGCCGCTATAAAAATAGTATCAATTATGCATGGCGAATCATATGCAAATTAATTAAAAATGATTCTCTTATCAAGAGATACTGTGTCACGTCGAATTGAAAATATGCCTGATAATATAAAATCCCAACTCCTAAATAGATTATGAGGAAATTATTATGCAATGCAATTAGATGAATCTACAGATATAACTAATCTTGCTCAACTTCTTGTATATGATGTTAGATATATTTATAAAGATAAAATTGAAGAAGACTTTTTATTTTGTCAACTATTAGAAGGACGTATGACTGGAAATGATATTTTTGTTCTTATAAACAATTTTTTAGAAATTAACGAAATTCCTTGGTCAATGTGTGTGTCAATATGCACTGACGGCGCAGCTGCCCTTACTGGTTCAAAAAAAGGGTTTAAAGCTAAAATTCTAGAAGTGTCTTCAAATATAATGTTTAACCATTTATGATTCATAAAGAAGCTTTAGCTTCCAAAAAACTTCAACCAGATGTTAATAAAGTACTACTTAATGCTATAAGYGTAATAAATTTTATAAAATTAAAGTHCAGACTTTTTACTATACTTTGCAATGAAATGGGTTMTGACCATRAAAAATTKCTTCTTCATACTGRAGTAAGGTGGTTGYCTMGTGGTAAAATATTATCACGCCTTTTTGAACTCAGAGATGAAGCACGAATTTTTCTTCTGGAACGTAATAAACTTTCGGAACATTTTTTGGACGAGCAATGGCTTGCAATTCTGGGTTATCTTGCAGATATATTTGAAAAACTAAATTGTTTAAATTTAAGCCTACAAGGGAAAAATACTAATATTTTATTTCTTTCTGATAAAATCAATGCTTTTAAAAAGAAAATTCTTYTGTGGAAAAATTATATCGACGATGACAAATTTGAAACGTTTTCATGTTTATCAAAATTCATCAGTGATAATGATGTGGATATTAATATGATAAAAGAAATTATAACTACTCATCTAATAAGTTTACAAACAAACTTTAATGCACGGTTTGAAGATTTCCCAGAAGAAAGTCTAGGTTAGATAAGAAATCCATTTCATTTTAATATCAATGAAATAAAATTAGAAAATTTAAAAATTTAAAAATAAGCGAAGAACTTATTGACTTGTCATCAGATGAAAATCTACGTATCAGATTTCAAGAAAATGCATGTGATACATTTTGGATTTCCATCAAATCTGAATATCCAGAATTATCAAAACAAGCCATATCAATTTTATTTCGTCCTTTTGCATAAACTTATTTATGCGAAACAGCATTTTCAACACTAAGGATAATTAAAAACAAATATCGCTCCAGATTAAATGTTGAAGCTGATTTAAGAGTGGCAGTGTCAAATATCAAACCAAACATATAACCAATCATGTCTACAATGCAAGCTCAGGTCTCTCATWAAWATAATTAAATAGTAATTTTATAATTTTAAAAATATTAAAATTTTTGATTATCGTTATAATGATACATTTTTTCATTTTAGATTTTATAAAACTCTAATTTTGTATTTTTGTTTTCATGTTTTTGATTAATTAAATTAAAGAAATATTAAAATTGCTCTAAAATTAACGATTTAATGTATATGAATAAAATGTGTGTATATATTAAGACTATTAAGTAAATTTATATTACACACTTACATAATGTTGGTAGGAAGGGGGTCGTATTAAAAAATAAATTATTTTGGGGGGGTCGTGGATCAAAAAAGGTCCGTTAAGGGAGGTTTCATTGGATACTTCCCACCACGCTGTGTTTGTGAAGAAATGTAAAAATCTTCATGCATTTTAAATTTAAGTTAAGCTTTTAAGTATTAAGTATACGGCCAGAGCTCAGGGGAGTTGTAAGCTCTGTAGTCACCAACCAAGTGAAAGAGACCATAATTAGGACRTGCGTTACCCCAGCATCCCCTCATGGGGTAACGCACTTGTAATTAGGTAACATTCAATATATTACAATCATATATTCAAGTGTATGTTGGTTTATTACTTCAGTTGTTCAGGTTGTTCTTTTGTTCTTTTTTGAAACAGATTGATTAAAACTTTGTAAAAAAAAAGGGGGATGTTGATGACGTAAAAATGATATTCCCTACACTAATTTATTATTCTGAATAGGTGATGGCTGGGGATGTGAGATCGCATAACCAATAACAACTACTAGATTATAATACTGTTAAAATTAATAAGTTTCAAACTTAGTCACATTGATTTTTACAGGGATYTTACAATAGTATTAAAATATACCTATCCTAACCTATTATGAATTACAACAGTAMAATTTATTTTACTATTTACCCGATCCCCATGAAACATTCGTGGCAGCATTTCTTTACTATTAAGAACGAATCGGACGAAAAAAAAATATTCTATTTATTACATATTGCGTATGCCATACACTATTTGAGATAACATTACAATAAAACCGAGACCGTCAATATAATGACGTACTTTGAATTAATTCATCATTCTTTTCCAGGGTAAAGTCAGCTTATTCAGCTAATATAGTAGGTATATCAAAAATTACCAGATGGCTCATTGTATCAAACACCGGGCGAATTGGGCAGATGGCTAAAATAAAGATTATCGCACGTGWTTTAACCTCATAACCGACTGCGTGATCAATATAGATAGATCGTTATAAAACCTAAACTATAATAGCTTGAGTGCAATTTTTATGGTACTTTCATATTACCTAAAAGGTCAAGTTAAATAGTGAAAATGTTATCATTGTAATAACGCAAAAATAAAAGAAAAGAAATAAAATAAAAATAAATGATAATATAATAAAAGATAATACTATTAGCTACATAGGCGTGTCCAGACCTCATTCGCAGGTCATGCACAACAGTGGCATATCCAGGGGATGGGGAAACTGCCGATCCTCCTCACCCCCAAAAAAAATAAAAATAAAAATTTCTGTTAGGGTTTGGGGATTTGAATTATATACATGATGAAAAACAAAAAATTTAATATGAAAATAGAAATTGAGAAAACAAAGTTYATATTAGGCATCAAAATGTACTATGTAAATTTGATCAAATTTGCAGGTCATGCCTGTGCATGACAGGCATGACTCGTGGACACGCCTATGATTAGCTAATATAATATTGCTGAGTTAATACAACTGTAACGATTTACAGATTACTGACTCATCATTTATGTCGCGCTCGCCAATTTATCTTAGGTTAACAGAACACAGGAACGTAGAGTACGAGCATATATGTATATTATAAAATATAGCCAGACAGTCGAGTCTAAACCACGGTMGTRTCCAAWACACAWTGAAGCCTACCTTTTAAAAATCACTTAATAATTGTTCAGCTCGTGCTCCGCTATTCCTGTGATCTTCAATATACTACCCTCAAGAACAGGGTTACTCAGGTGACAGTGTACTATATACTATATGTAGATATTATTCAATCATTTAATAAATCTTGTTTTGCGTTACTATATCGTGTTCCATTGTGTTAGTCTATGAACGCAGGTCATAAGTTCCTAGGACCTGTAAAATATAACTTAGGAAACTTTATTTGTATCTATCCAACAACCCGGTTCTCAAGACCGGTTCGTGTARTAGGAWTAGCTAACYAACTACTMWTKAACTRGWTAGGATTTGGTATAAATATCGACAACCACTTAGTTTTGATAGACGAAGGAGGTGTGTTGCACAACTATTAAATATAACTAAGACTCCTACCAATAGTTATATTAATTAGTGGAAGATATTGGAAATAAAATGGAGTTTGGTTGAATTATTGTGTTACACTAAAGGATCTGTATCGTCCTCTACTCTTATAAGAGCTGGAGAATACCTAAGTTACCAGATATAAATATTAAAAATGCGCTATTACCTTCCTCCTGATCGTCGGAGGGTTCTCGAGGTCGTGATTCGAGAACRATCAAGTACACCGTAATAATAAAATATGAATTATTAAATTATAAAAAGTTTTATAAATACAATATGATATATAAAATTATATAAGTATATGAAAATTGATGCGCATGCACCTTACCTTATTCGCAGCTGTATTTGATATGCAGTTGACGTAATAAGATAAATAAACGTTTGTTATTATTGTTATTAAACACTCAAATTAAAGAAAAACAACACTGTTAAATTTCAATTTTAAAAAAGAAGCGGTCCAGCTGTCGCTCGCAATGTCTGGTGTCGGAAAGTTTTTAGGTGTTCCTGCACTCTTGAGGTTGTTTTGTTTTAGTGTTGAATGGGGCTCATGCACTGATGACTGGTGCTCATGCACTATAGAGTGGTGCTTGCACTGATGAGAAGAGACGACTTGGTCAAGCCAGACAGGGTCGCCGGTGGCTCCATCAAAGGCCACTACGTTTCTAAAGATTTACCGTTATCCTTGGTAGCAGAGGTCCTCATTGGGCCATATCTTGTCTCTGGCGGCACGCAGGCACACAAAATAGATCAAACGTGCGACGACACATTGTGACAACTACGTCTGGGTTCCTATGTGACCAAACAATGCAGATCGTTCCTTCCATCAGTGATTAAATACATTTATTGGGGTTTAATGATTATTTGCGGGCGACATTATTGACCGTTATTTATTTTATTGGATAACTAAGCAAAATACAATTATGATATGTGAGTAAATCATTACATTATTAACGAGCAATAAAGTGCTGCTCAAAAAGTTACTGACCGAGTTATGCGATAGGTGTGATAGGTAATAAATCAAGAATAGACTGATTGACTGTTACAATGTTTTTATTTAAATTTTCAATTATTATTATTATTATTAAAATGTTATATTCCAACCATAGATATATAATATTAAACTAGATAGCCGACTCTGTATAGACTATGCATACAAATATGACGCCTGGTCGCCATTTGTAGGTTGGGCAATGTTTACAAAATATGGATGTTATCAATCCTCGTGATATCAATTAATCAAAATTAAAATTGCTTTTTTGCTTTTTTTT